CGTTTCGTTTCACACTTATTACACTCGTTGCCCAAATTTTTGCAACACCTATGCAAAATAGAAGCGAGGTAAGACTGTACCTTCGTACTCCCTAGGCATGAACACTATCGTATACAATCATGGGATAACTAGTCGTTGAGAAGCACGTGTATCTATTCCCTCCACTGAACAGCTCCAGGTTCAGGTCGTTGTCCACTTCCATAATGAGCGAACTGCAAGTCATCTAAGTTTCAAAAAGACTTGCAATTGTGTACGCCAGGAGTTCCTCCAGAGCTACGTCAAAGAGTGTCGCACTAGCCAGGAGGTTAACAGTACAAACCACCCTCCGTATGAATCATTCCAACCTCTACCCATACCTGAGGGGAGATGGCAATCCATCTTCAAAGACTTTATCAGTCTTGATGTTATCAGGGTCGTTGTAGATCACTTCAAGAAGTGCACATACTTTACTATGTGTCGCCCTCGCATTGACATTTGATAGATCGACGATATCGTTTTCGAGTGAAAGGTTGAAGACCACAACCTTCCTCAGAGCATCGTTTCGAACCATGACTCATGCTTTACCAGCACATTTTAGGAATGCCTACACGACGTGCACAGTTCTCAGCTCCGCTGCAGGTTGACTTACCAACCTCAAATGAGAGCACGTTAACGAATGCCTAAATTTTCAAACAATTTGTCATGTTATTTACAACAAAACCCAAAGATCAGCTAAACCAAACATGCCACAAATTCAAAGAATGGAAAGTACACTTCCCAAAAAAAAAAAAAAAAAAAAAACAACATAAAACATCGAAGTAAAAGTGCACTTCCATACAAAATTCGCCAACTTCTCGATTTCACAAATGTTTAGAAATTTCAAAAATCTCACTAGAGAGATTATTAATGCTCCAAATGAGACCAAGTTTGGCACACACCAACCTTGAACCAAAACAACAACAGGCAAAAAAAAAAAAAAAAAACATAAAACCATTTAACCACTTGTGGCTCGGATGGATGGTCAGACTCAAGTCACTAACAAAATTGTCGGTAATATCCCATGAACGTTTATCATTGATGACTGACAGTGAGACTTACACTTAGCCCAAGCGGAGATTGCATAGATCCACGCCGTTTGGCTAGCCATGGGGATGTCATCATACTATTGTGACCGCAACTATCACTCTCGATTCCCCGCGGACTTTCTCAGACTCTTGCAGTTGCACCCACATACTCGTTGTTCAACGGTTGATGAGGTGTTGCACATATGCATGATATACTTTACCGCGCGCGCAAGAGCATAGCCGCCTCTGACACCCGCATGACCACACGAGTCAACCGATCCCGTATGAGTAATCCATTCAAACTCAGTGACAATATATTCATCAACGGCCAACAATTTGCAGCTTGATGCGCATATGCTCCGCAAATTTAGGCATCGCTTCTTTGGCCTATACCGCATCCTTCAGGTCGTCAATTCACATATTGTCTATAGACTGCTAAACTTCTGCGTGAAGCTGCCTGATTATCTTCGCTAGACTGGCATACATGATGTTTATCACTTTTCTTTGTTGCGTCCTTACTAGAAACGTCCGAGTTATTCGCCGAACATTCCTACCTACTTCCTCCACATATCATGGTAGATGATCAAAAGGAGTTTGTCATTCTTGACATCGTATCTCTACGAGTGACCGATGATACCCCTCCACGCATCAAGTACCTACTGCGTTGGAAATACTATCATGATGAGGAGGCTATTTGGGTGCCCCTTGAACATTTGGACCATGCCATGACTTATGGCGTGCATATGATCATGCTTTTTGTGCAAACATGTCTGCTCCTTTTCGGTGGATTCACCCCATTCGTTTTAACCGGGCTCAAGACATTGTTGGGAATATGTCTACTCTCTTTCAAGACGTTCTTTACTTGCAGCTAGACGCTTCGTAGCATCCCCAATGCTCTCCTTGTCACCCTGTGCATTTCGGTGGTTGGCGTTCTTATCATATAGTTGCATTCATGCTACCTCTTATCTTCATTTACTACATCGTCAACTCTACTTTAGGATGTCAGTGTTTTGCGGCTCTGCTTTCACATCGACCCCGACTCCTTCATGTACAACTCCGGCTACTTCACCAGCTTGACTTATTTTGGACTTGATTACGTCACACCACCATCCTACATTATGTATCCCCTTGTATGTTGCATGATGGTTCTCCCTGCATCCCCTAGCTAGTTTTCTAAGTTAGGTTCCCCCTTCGTAGCGTGAAGGCATTGGGTCTGTAGCGTTACCCTCACTTCAGTTCTTCGTAGTTCTGGCTCCCACCTAGTCGATAAGTTATGTGCTTAACCCTTTCACCCATTGCATTCATCCCCCTAGTATCGACCATGCCTTTAGTTAGGCATCTCATCCTATCCCTAGACCCTCTTTCACAGTAAGCGCGCCTTGGTGGTTTGTTTGTTAAGCCATTCATTGTGTTTTGCTCCCACTTCCTACCCTCATCCTCATGACCTATCGTACTTTTGTATCCGACTGCCCCTTGGAGTTTCGGTTTTTGAGTTGCATTCACTCACTCTAAGAGCATCTCACTCCCAATGGTTGAGTGACACAACTTTATCTTATAACCTATTGCTAACTTTACAACTATTTCGTCGAAATAAACCTTTATATTCTTTAAATAAATAGAAACTGGCTTATTTGCGCAAAAAAAATCAAGAGTCACAAAAACGAGTTATAATTGCAGTATGGGGTAAGATACAGTTTGCAATTGCATTTCGGGAACCCTACCTGGCCAGGAAGTTGGGTTGTATATATTGCCCGAGCTGCTATTCGAAATTGTATCTTGGCCCATAATGCAATTATAACCTAGGTTACCAGAGTGGACGCCCGGGACACCCCTAGATGTCCGACTTATCCGGTCGGACAACTGGGGAGACGTCCTCTGGAGACAGTATGTCCGACCCTTAAAACCACCACTACCTTTCTGAGCCTTAGGGAAAACAGGAATATACGTCACACCGCATTTTTAGGGGGTCCCGACAAGGCTTGGGAGAAAATAAATCTTGGGCCTTGTGGGTCCGTTTGCCACAAAAGAAAAACAAAAGGTCGCTCAATCTTTTTTTTTCTGCCTAGGGTTAGAGAGCCACGGGCCGGCAAGGCCTGCAAGGCAGTGGGCCGACAAGGCCTGCAAGGCAGTGGGCCGACAAGGCCTGCAAGGTCGTGGACAAGCAAGGCGTTGAGAGCCACTGCCCGCCCTCCGTCCCTCGACCTGAATGGTTCACCGGGGGGAAAGTGGGCGGGAAAACTCGAAGCCTGCAATTAGGGGAATAGAAGAGAAGGTGTCGGGGAACGAAGGAGTCCTAGAGGAAGATTAGGGCAAGGCAAGAACGAAGACATTCATAGATCATTGACAAAAGAGGTTGGGACGGTGGATTAAACCGCCAACCCTTTAAGGCGCAATCAAGGCCTGTTGGGCCACTACCGGGCAGGCTGTTGGGCACAAAACCCTTCGTATTGAAGGACTGCTCCTACTCTTTCAGAAATAAGAGTTAGCCCAGCAGGGAACACGCCAGACTTACATGCTGCAGACACTCGGATGAAGTCCAAGTATCCGCCCCTGTTGGGGCTAGCTCCTTTTGGAGAGGCCCGCATTAGGGGTGCAAGGCACTAGGGCGCGGTGGATTTCAATTGTGGGATCACCAAGATCGCGCGGCTGAAATCCGGTGCGCGGATTGGCATGGCCCCTGCGCGAGGATGACGCGCATAAATTGAGGAAAAAAAAACGGTCATTTTATCCCTTTGGGAATTGAACTCAGGTCTGTATTTCAACGGCTAGTGGCAGTGCCATGAGAGGAAGGGGGGAAGGCGGAATGTCGTTGGCATAAGCCAACAGCTGAAAAAAAAAACAAAAAAAAACTAACTGAAACTACCTGAAGAGCGCCATATGGTGCGTTTCTGGAAGACAGGGAGTTGGAACTCCCTCCAAATAAGTCAAGCGCCCGTTTTTTGGCGTCGACTTTTTGTATTTTCTTAGAATTTTTTTTCTTCTTTTTTTAGCGTGTACTTTTGAGTTCCCTCAGGTGCCCTCGTGAGTCCACAAGGCGATGTACCTACCTATGCTCTGAAGGAGATTTATTCTCATTTTGCACAGTTCGTGATTAGTAGGGCCGCCTACCACACCATTTTGGGTTGGATTCGAACTCAACTGTGTGTTTCAACAGTTCGTGGGGTGCCAACTGCCCCACTAGGAATGCCACATTGGCATGGTTGCGGCTGGATTCAAACTTGGGTCTGTGTTTGAACAGTTCATGGTCCACCAACGGCCCCGCGAAGAATGCCCTGCCCTGATGGTGGAGATTATTGGGGAAAAAAAGGAGGAAAAAGAGGGCAACGGGCTAGTAAGGGCATGATTCCACTCTCAAGTGAATGAAGTGCACCAACACTTCAGCTCCCACAGGCCCCGCGAATTTTCGTAGCCACAAGATCTTTGATCTCGTGGTTCAGATCGCGTGCGTGGAACCAGAAGGAGGAGCACCCATGGCACGAAGTATCAGAGGGCTTGCCAGAGTCCAGTTTATGTGGGACTTCCTAGGGGAAAACCAGGTAAGTTTTCTCCTTTGTTTTTTCTTTTCTTTTTTCTTTTCCTTTTTGGATCTGGCTTCATTTTCTACCAGATCCGTTAGCCCCCTTCTGCATGTGTGGTAGAAAAGGGCAGCGAAGGGGTTGCTTGAACATGGCCGTGAATTGGAAAAGGTGCATAGTTGAGGGGAGTTGCTGTGCTTGGAGCAGTACCACAAGGAAAGGCCTGGTGCAGCCTCCTCTTGTTGCATGTGGCCAGCGAAAAAAACCAGGTGCTTTGTCTAGTTGATGTAGCTCAGTGGTTAGAGCACCTGTTGGAAATGCGCATTGTGGTACGAGGTTGTGGGTTCAAAACTCCGCAGCCTCGCGCATGGACACCGGCAGGGTGTTAGAATGATGCACGGCTGGACACACACTCCTCTGGGCTGATTCATGGTACTATTACGGACACTGCCTGCGCACCACCCAGAGGGTCAATTCATGGGTGTTGTATGCTGGTCTAGTCTTCACGTTTGTTGCTGGTTGTTGTTGGCTTTGGTCGCTCTGATAATCTCCCCCAGTCCAGACATTACACACATTATATCCACTTCCCACGGTAGTACAAGTGGTAGACCCCTCCAGTTCCATACTGTAGGTCAAAGGATCGAGTCCGGTTCCGGACTTTGGGGGGGTCCTGTCCAGATAGACCTGTCTCTACCACATACATACACACATGAGATACTACCCCAGATAGCACAATCCATACACACACATTCAATACATACATATATATATCGTCAAATAGAAATAGCTCAAGGTACACGTTCACATACACGTACTAGTGGAGGTGGTAGGAGCACCTCTCACCAGTACTCAGTACTTACTTCGCAGATGCTCCATGGTGGGGAGCAGCATACAACCATACATATGGCCCACGGGCACACATCCATGATACACAGTACATACACACAACCATAGGGCTGGAAGGAGGTTACGATCAACTGATAACGATGATAAGCGTCTCGATGATAAGCACCATGCCTTAAAAATACAGCTAGGGTCTGTGGTGGGAGAGTAGAGGGCGTGAGTCACTGGTTGGTCTGGTGGGTTCTAACTGGTGATGATGATAGGCGTCTCGATGATAAGTACATATACAGCTAGGTCTGTGGTGGGAGAGTAGAGGGCGTGAGTTACTAGTTGGTCAACTTAGGGGGTACACACACACACACACAAACACACACACACACACACACACACACATACACAAGGGCTGGGTAGAGGTCATGATCAACTGATAATGATGATAGGCGTCTCGATGATAAGTACCCCGCCTTAAATATACAGCTAGGGTCTGTGGTGGGAGAGTAGAGGGTGTGAGTCACTGGTTGGCTTGGTTGGATCCAACTGGTGATGATGATAGGCGTCTCGATGATAAGTACCCCGCATTAAATATACAGCTAGGTTTGTGGTGGGAGAGTAGAGCACGTGCGTTGCTAGTTGGTCAATTTAGGGGCCAATAGATGATTGCTTGAGCCTGGCGTCCGAAGTACCCGTACGACGAGGCTCGTTCGACTACTCTTCAACCAGGGCTGGGTCGCTAGCCCTGGTGCCTGTCACTACTGTTCGGTCCAAGTTCCCCTCGATACTGGTAGGGTAATGGTCCTTAGTGCTGGTCACACTTAGGTAGGATAGTAGGGATAGGGGATGTGCTAGGAGTATTGACGCGAGGATGGGAGGGGTGGTGGCCTCGCCTCCTCAGAGCGTACACAGCTGACCGCTTCCGGCGATCAATGTGTGCCTAGTAACTGGCCTCTACAACACTCTGGACTTTTCAAAAAGAAAAAAGAAAAAAAAAAAAAAACCTAGGTGCTTTAGTCTTTTAGGGCCCTTGGTTCTCCTAGGGGGGAATAGATGTCTGTGGCCATTCGTCATGGGTTTAGATCAAGGGCCCGGGCTGAGCTTAATTTTTTACCTATGGGCCAATTGCTGCCCACAGCCCTCCAGCAAGTATAAAAGCAGCATGCTCCAACAACTACCTCACAATTGTTGAGGACGTTATGCTGCATATACTTGCACTCATTTGAGTGCTCGTTGAGTTGCATCACACTGAGGAAGGAGCTGTTGGCCAAGTAGCCGAAGGTCTGCAAGGTAAATGCTGCTGGAGTTGGAGGTCTACAGGATGAAGCTGGAGGAGGGAGAAGGGCATCCATAGCCATAGCTGGCAGCGCCTTGCTAAAGCACAGGCTAGTGATGCACATGAACGTGTGGCAGGCCATACCCCATTTTCTGCGGGTATGCTGCCGAATTCAGGCCACGACTGTGACACAGTTTTGTGGGGAGGTGATGCCGAAGAACTGCCATTGTGACGGGCACAAGGCTGAGGGTGAGCCGAGGGAGAGGAGAGAGAGAGGGAGCGAGTGAGAGCACACACACACTCACTCACTCGACACGACTGACTCGGACTGAGGGTCGGACGCAGACACAGTGGCAAGGCACAAAGTCGAAGTCTTGGATTCCGAATGCCGAAACAGCAAGTCACACTGAGTACAAGTACAGCAGCAGAAAACTGGTACGAGACTGGTCCCCGTACCGTACGGGGAGCCGGTAGTACCAGTGACACGTACAGTACCAGGGGCATTTCTGCAAAGGCCCTGAGGGCAAAACTGAAAAATGCGGTATTTCAAAGTGGCGCCCGAATTGCAGCATGGTGCAAGTTGTCCAAAATCCTACGGTACCAAAGGGGTGGTTTGGAAAAAGGGTGCCAGGCCGAAAACGGGATGCAGCCGAAACAGCAAAAAGATAGACCGGGGATCAAGCCCTGGCGAAGTCCGTAACAGCCATGACCTCAAAGGGAAGGTGTTACCGGATTGCTGCAGCGAAGTCGAAAGTTTGAGGGGGAATGCTGCCGATTTTTTGGTAGCGGCGCAACATTTTAAGAGGAAATGTTCCTAGATTGCTGGCACGACGAAGGTGAAGGATTATTTTATGGGACATAATGCCGAACTACCGGTGCGGCAACATGAAGATTTTTAAGGGGATGTGTTGCTGAATTGTTTCGGTGCGGACAGTTTGGTGGAGGTGTCGTCAAGCGGCTTTTGTGCTAGGGTTATATCTGGGCCCCAATTCCATTGTTTTGGGGAGCGGTTGTGGTCTGTAGCACGTGGCATGATGCAGGTTTATTTTTTTGGAAGCAGTTTTCGGACTGATAGGGGATCTGGGATAGTCCCAAGAGCCTGTGGTGTCGTTGGGACTGCAGGATGCATGTTTATTTTTTTGGAAGCAGTTTTCAGACTGATAGTGGATCTGGGAAAGTCCCAGGAGCCTGTGGTGTCGTTGGGACTGGGTTGGGATAACCTGAAACACAAGGATCATGCACAACTTATGGAGGAAAAGTATCTCTCGATCGTGAGGCGCCCATGAAGTGAGTTGTCAGATGTAGTGAACGTCGACAACGTTATTTTTCTACTTGGTTGGGACATTACCTGACTTTCGTGAGTGAGTCAGTCTGCATCTTCAGTGTGATCACTCAAGGTCAGTTTGACTCAGATTCCCTTCATACCCGAGTGAACCCACCCTTTGTTTGACCTTATTCCATTGAATGTTTTTGAAAAGGCAAAAGAAATGTGTGTTCGCGTGTGGATGGCAAATGTCTGACCTAGGAAAGGGTTTGTGATGTTTTTTTGGTTTTGAGTTCGCTTTGTGTATCAGGTATGGTCAGGATTGGATAAAAACTAAGTTTTTTTTTCGGATATCCAGATGGCCCTGGACCATCCGGTTCATCCGGCCGGAAATAGAACCCCGAAAGAACCCGGAAATAACCCTTCTGGGGCCTGCGCAAAATAGGCGCAAGGCCTCTTCCTTGAGTTTAGGGGCGCCTAGGGGTTTCGATCAACCCCTGGGACCCCGTCGCGGTGGCGGATTCGGTAAGGCACCTACCAAATTTGGAAAAAAAGTATGCTCGATCTGGGCCATCGATCCACTAAGATCGACGGCCAACATCGGGCCATTTTTCAATTCGAATCCGCGGCAGCCGGTTTGGGACTGCCCGCAGGTAGTGGTCCGAACCCCCCGTCCCTTCCCAGCAACGGCCCGCTGCCCCGTCGCCGCGCTGCTTGCTGCTCGTCCCCCCCCCCCGTGTGTTGACGCTGACGCCAGTGGTCCCGTTGTTCTGTTGCTCAAGCCATCGCCGCTGCCGCTGGAGCTTCGCCGGAAGCCTCCTCCTCCTCCGCCGTCGACCACAAGGTGAGCCTTCATGCTGCCGCCCTCTTCTTCTTCCTCCTCCTGCTTCACCACCTCCTCCTCCTCTTCTTCCTCCTCTTCCTCCTCCTCTTCCTCCTCCTCCTCTTCCGCTTCCTCTTCCTTCTCATCTTCCTCCTCATCGCTATGCAGGGGAAAGAGAACGAGGAGGAGGATGCCACGATGACGATTCAGAGGAAGGGGAGGAGAAGGAGGAGGGGGACGGAAGTGATGTTGTTGACGTGCACGTCGACCATCCCCCTGCGTTTTTTTATTTTATTTTTATCAATCAATCAGAGTCATCGATTTTGATGGTTCATTATTGATTCAAGATCCTATTGAATTGCGATTCGATTGGATTTTGCATCCATCAAGATCCATCGGAATTGATGGTCTTCATTGATTGATTAACATTCAATGTCTTTTCACAAAACAACTCTCAAATTTGAACCTGTGGTAGTCATATTTAAGTGCAAAAAAAAAAAAAAACATTTTTTTTTTCCGGGCATATCCGACCAATTAATCCGGCCGGAATTGTTAAACAACTTAGGATAAAAATGAATTTATCTGCATGGTTTTGGTATCTTAAGTGGACAACTTTTTATCTCTATTTTTAATGTTGAATGTATAAAAGGCAAAAAGTTTAGCATAAGTCGGATTAAAAGAGTCCTCAACAATTAATCGACCCATAACTAATGTTCAAAGTTGATGTGAACTTAGTTTCCTTTCCAAAGATCGCACATTCTATCCTGAATGCCCCTCCTTCCTTTCCAAGGATCACATATTCTATCCTGAATGCCCCTTCTCTTCTACGCCCCATCAAAATGGTTCATATCGTTCCCTGACCTCTGATTTTGCCTTCGTCTAAGTCCCTTTCGGCATGAAAGGTTCTGGGTGATTGACATTTCCCCGTAGTAGACGCGGTCCCTTGCTCTAGGAGAAATCTAGGTGGGGGTTCACATGCTTTAGGAGTCGACTCTATTAACGATCTGGAGTGGGTTTTACGGGGGGGGTTCTTGTTGTATTCGTGGTTGAGCCAGCCCGACTTTGAGCTTTGTGCTTAGGCGAGGAGGGGGGGGTACCCCAAACCACTTCCTAAAGGGTTGGGCGCGTGGCTACAAAGGGGCATCCTTCCCCAAAATTTCGCGCAAAAGTTGATTGATTTAACAACCTTATAGGTGGCCGCCTTAGGTGTCACCGCCGAATGGGGGACCAGTGCCTTAAGAAACCCGGTCTGATAAAAGCGAGGTTTAGAGTGGACGCAAGTAGGTGACATTGTCGTGGAAAAAAATTGTGTCATAAGACGTGCGGACACGGGGTAGACAAAAGAGAAAATGCGACGCTTTTGTGTCCTCGATCAATATAAGAATGAAATGGATAACTTTGGCGACTCAACTCGTCCAGTCAAAACTAGGATAGCCCAACTACCTCGTCGACTGTATTCTAAGTCCAACCTCGCGTTGGCTCGATTTGTCTCGCTCAAATCTACTTAATTCGAGCGATATTATTTTGATTTTATGTTCTACCTTGTGATATTCGAATATTTACCATTACCTTATCAGCCCCCGAATTTGAATAACGACTATCTGATTTGTAACATATTATCTCTTGCTATATATATCTTCCTATCCACTATGGTCGATTTGATCGATGGATGTTCCAGTATTGCGATAACTTCCTTTCTAGGTTATGTGTCTAAAGGACTAGGAGTGTTTGTGGGCTTCTGGATTGGGTGAGACCGTCCTATCGACAGACGTCAGTTCGTATTTAGGAGATCAATGCCCAAACCAACAAACAAGGTTCGGGTTTTGTCGACGTTTTAACCACGTGTGCCTATACTGTAGCGAACGAGCAAACGCCCTCGACTGATCTACCTCTGCGATTGCATATAAAAAAATTTGTACGTGGGTTTGTAGCTTAGTAGGGATATGCCCCTAATGGTTGTGACAACCCCTTAGGGAAGGTAAGTTGTGCCTCGCGGGAACTTGTCCTGTCGCAGAGGACCATGAGCGGTAGGGTTGGCGCACCCGGCTAGAGCGGCGAGGGGAAAACACAACCGTGTCTGTCTCTGCGGTTCGCGGGATTACTTACGCGTTGTCTCCAAGTTTGTCTCACTCCTTTTCTTTTGCTTATGTGTGTCATGGTTGGGAGGGCTCTCACTTTTTGCAAGAAAGGGCGGGAATCAATGCGCTCGACAACGGTTCCACACAAATAGACAATTGACAGGAGCACTTGTTTGATTAGGACACCAATAAAAACAAACATAATGGAATGGAGAAACCAACAAAAGATAGTAGGTTTTAAGTGACATAACCATGGTCAAAGCAAATTGCAATGGCCTTGCCCTCAAAACAGAAAATAGTCTGCTTTGAAACAAAATGAGATGGTGCATAGAAAGGGAAACAACATATTGAGCTCTTTGTCTGTATCTTTCTTCTGCCCCTCTCTCTCTCTCTCTCTCTCTCTCTCTCT